CACCACGCCCAGCTTTCTTTTTTGTTTTTGAGACAGAGTCTTACTCTGTCACCCGGGGTAGTGTGCCATGGCATCAGCCTAGCTCACAGCAACCTCAAATTCCTGGGCTCAAGCGATCCTCCTGCCTCAGCCTCCCAAGTAGCTGGGACTACAGGCATGCACCACCATGCCCAGCTGATTTTTTCTATATATATGTTAGTTGGCCAATTAATTTCTTTCTATTTGTAGTAGAGACGGGGTCTCGCTCTTGCTCAGGCTGGTTTTTGAACTCCTGACCTTCAGCGATCCACCCTCCACGGCCTCCCAGAGTGCTAGGATTATAGGCCCGAGGATTATATTACCTTCACTGCACCCGGCTGAGAAGGTAATATATTAAGACAGATACATTACTACCAGTAAACATATTGTAAATTGGTATGTTTTTGGGAATGTGATTTGCATGCAAAGTCTTATAATTTCAGAATTTAATCTGAATTTTAATGACCTCTTGGTTCACATAAACAACATAGGGGTATCTATCTGCTCTGAAAACCCATGAGTTTCAGATAGTGCCCTAAAAACAATTTTATATGCCTCACTGGTTGTTGTTGTTAGGTTTTTCCCTCACTTGACTTTATCATTGTTTACTACTAGTAAAAAGCAGCATTGCCAAATAATCCCTAATTTTCCAGTAAAATAAAATAATGAGATGATGTTAAGCTTTTCAAAAAGTTTTAGATTAAACCTACTGTTGTTAGATTAACCTTTAATGTATTTGTTGCTTCCCTTTATCTGGAATGTGGCATTAGCTTTTTTATTTTTAACCCTCTTTAATTCTTATTCAATTTAATGACTTAAGGTTTGACAGCTAAACACTGGGATTTTGGGGTAACAGACTGACAGTTTTGTTTGCATAATTATAATCGGCATTGTACATAGAAAGGACATGGCTGCCTTTTGTTAAATCTGCACATTCTAAATATCAAAAAAAGGGAAATGGAGTATAAATCAATTTTTGTATAATCTATTTGAAACATGAGTCTTATTTGCTTAATATTAGGGCTTTGCCCTTTTCTGTAAGTCTCTGGGGATCCTGTGTAGAAGCTGTTCTCATTAAACACCAAACAGTTAAGTCCATTCTCTGGTACTAGCTACAAATTTGGTTTCATATTCTACTTAACAATTTAAATAAACTGAAATATTTCTAGATGGTCTACTTCTGTTCATATAAAAACAAAACCTGATTTCCAAAAAAAAAAAAAAAGAGCCAATTTCAGAAATTAATCTTAATGAAATTATATGAAATAAAGATGTTGTCATAAAGTATTAAAAAGCCCCTAAGTATACATACAATAAAGGAAGACTAAAAGTTTATGTTGATGAAACCATTTAAAAGGCTATATATTTAGCTCTTAATAACATGAGTAAATGTTTTTATCTCAAGTTTCATGAGGACACAGCCCTTATCTAGCCTTTCTTTTTTACTGTTGTATCCCTAGAGCATAGAATTAGGCCTATCACATAATTGTTTAATAAATATTTGCTAAATAAATGAAAAAGTAATGTTAAGCGAAAAGAATTAAAATTTTATGTGATTTCTGTAAAAAACCTGTATAGAAAAAGAATTGGAACCACACACAACCAATGGGAAAAGAGACCACAGCAATTTTTAAAAACAGCTTTATTGAGGTATAATTTGACATACCATAAAACTCACCCATTGTATATGTACAGTTCATTTGCTTCAATTGCTTCATTTGTACAACTGTGCAATTATACAATAATCCAGTGTCATGGTCAATATTCGTTTTCTCATTTGATCTTTTCTGTATTGTAAAGAAAGATTTATTCTTTGAAACTTTCACTGAAAGCTGACGTGAGTTGCTCTATACAAAATTACTTTCTAATCTTCTGAATTTACTTCTTCAATTTGAATCTCTCTAGCACAAATTGGATTTTAAAAGCAGCAGGGAGGCCATTTGCTATCATTAGAAGTGAAACATTAAGGCAGAGCAGGCACGATACAGCACAGATTTCTGTTTGGTGTGCTATATATAGTAAGATCATTGTTCTTGATCCTTCAGCAAATAAACGTTCCACAGAATAACTAGTACAGGCACAGTTCCCAACTGAAATGCAGGTTCTGAAGGGCACCAGCTGTGAGGAACTGCTTTTCTGCTCCTCAATGCTGCTAGCGGAGAGTGCAGTGCGAGAGCTGCAGACGTCCCCCAACCCGGCCGGCCGCTTCTGTCTCGGCTCGGTGAGGGGTCCAAATAAAAGGCCTTGGATGTATTCAACTTAGCTCTCTGAAAGAGAAAACCCTTCCAGAAGTGGACTGAGATTGGTTAGCACCTAAGTCCTCTTCACAGGCCCGGCTCCCAGTGCCCCGCCTACGGCCTCCTACCTGCAGAGAAGCAAAGCAGGGACACCTGGTGCCTTAGGCGGGCCAAGCCTAGCACCTTGGGAGCAAAGAACATGGCTTCATCATCGAGGTGCGCGATCACCAGGAGGGTCCAGCTTCCAGCTCCCAGCAAGCCTGCCTGCTCCTGACTCTTCGTTCATTCTGAGGAGTCCCAAACCCAGAAGCCCCAAGTCAGGACCGTCGCTACCACACACGCGAGACCGACCACTTCCCTGCTGGATAAGTGGCGCTGCGCCTGCGCACTAGGGAAGGCTGCCGCTGACCCTAATTCCGGCGAGAAAACTGCACCAGCTAACTTTGGGTTCCGCCTTTAAGTCCGTCCAGCCGACCTGCTCAGGAGGCTTCACGCTTTAGGGTTTCTGTTGTGGCTTAACCCAGAAGCCTCTCCTCACTTTATCGAGCTCTCTCCACTTTTTGAAGCATTGATATGTTGTGCCGACTTCGTTTCAGAGCTGATCCGAGCCCCATGTTCAGTTTTCCTAGTTCTACCTTACAGTACAATATGTTTAAAGGGAAGCGATTTAAAATAGGCTCTCAATTCTTGTAGGCAGAGTTCATTCCTCTTCTTCAACTCATCATTTTATAACTCATTTCTTAAAAATCAGGGTGTTTCTCCAAATCATACGATAGTCCGTTATCCGGATGACAGTTTTCCAAAACAGCCAGATACACCAAGTTTGTTTTTCCTTAATTTTGGGATGTGCAGTGTGGCTTTTCTAAAAGTACGCTGTTACAAGGAACCGTCCAGTCATTTCAATAAAAGAGTAAGGCTGAAGGTGCACTTCGTAGTAGCAAGGGCCACCGGCTCCTCTTGCAAGTTACTTTAGATTAAGGAGCGACATCGCATTTCAGTGAGGTTTTGGTGAGAATTACAGCCGGAGGCCTGGAAAGTATCTTGGGTCGGTCTACGTGCACCATTCCGACTCCCAGTCAGCCACGTGTGGACACAGCTTCCGTCCGCGCAGCCCAGGCCCGAGAGGGCCGCCGCCGTCATGCCGGGCCGCCCGACGCCCGTCCTTTTCCCACGCCAGGGGGAAGGCCCGAGCGCGCAGGAGCGGCCGGCTCCCGGTGGGCGCCCCAGCCCTGGGGCGCGACAGCAGCCGCGCCAGGTCTAGCTGGGCGCAGTGATGCCTGGGCCTGTCTCCTTCACTAAAAGTTGAGTAAAGCTGAACTGTAAAATGAGCCACAAAATTACTTTCTAATCTGGGTTTACTTCTTCAGTTTGACACGTGCATCAGAGGGGACTGCCGCCGCCTGGCCTGGGGGAGACAGGAGGGGATCAGGCGCGACGCCTCCCAGGAACTCGGCCGAGATAGGAGGGGCGCTCGGCCAGGAGAGGGAGTCGGTGTCCCAGCCCTCCGGAAGGAGGAGGAGCCGGCGCGGCGCCGCCTCAGCCGGGGCGCCCGGGCTGGGCGGAGGGAGAGGGGTTGAGTCAAGATGGCGGCTAAGGTGGCGAAACAGCAGTGGCGGCGGCGGCGGCTGGAGTGAGCGCCCAGCTTGCGGCGCCGAGCGAGGTCCTGGCGTGGGGTCGCGCGCCGGGGCTGCGTCCTGCCCCTCTGGTCCGGAGCGCGTCGGCTCCCGCGCTCCGCCAGCTCCCGGTGAGTAGGCCCCGGCGCCTACAGCCCCGGCCTCCGCGCCCCTGCTCATCCGAGGGCTCCCAGGGCTCCCGCCGCGGGGACGGCTTCTCGGCCGGGCGAGGGGCGCCGCAGGCCCGGCCAGGTCGGGACCGGTCCCAGCCGCCTGGCCTCTTCCCTCGGCGGCCCCGGCGAGGCGGGCGCTGCGGGGAGCTCAGGCCGGGCGAGGGGTAGCTTATGGAGTTTGGAGGAAGAATGGGCTGCGGCCGGGCCGGGCCGCCCCGAGGTGTCCGGAGCCGAGGGGGCGTGCGGAGCCCGCAGGGCCGGCCGACCGCGAGGGGCAGGCCCGGAGGTCCGGGGTGGGGCCGGCGCAGGTGGCGGGCCTGGGTCACCCTGAGGCGGAGCTGGTGGCCGACTGGGGAGTGTGGAAGGGGCCAGGGAGGGCGACAGCGATGGACAAGTGCCTGGAGAGCACACAAGCTCGCCTTTCTAACCGACCCGCTTGTGATGGGGCAGGGTGGGTAGTGGTGGAGACGGCAAGGATCCCAACCCTGTACCTTCCGCCGTCACTTGTTGGGGTTTTCACGTGGGAAGTCGGTGAGTGCGCTGCTTTTTGAGTAGAGAGGGATTTGAGAAGCTGTGGTTGAGAAATTGGCCTTACTAGAGAGGAGACGGAATTCTTCTAATAAATGGGATCAGGAATAGCTATTTATTAAAGGAGTGGATAGGAATAAATGATATTTATGAAAAGTATTTGCTCAGAAAGTGTCACTTTTCTTTTCTTGATAGTTGCATGCCTCGGTGGCTCTTCAGGAGAAGAGTTAGCCTTGGAGAGTAGTGGTACGGATAATTCAAATCTTTGGAATTAGTATATTCACCTGCATCAGACTTGCTTCCCTAGTTATATCCTAATTATATTGAAATGTACATTCCTTGTGTGCACCCTGCTGAGGCGGCGATGGGAGGCAGAACATGCCAGTGTGCAAAGAGCAACAGGCCTAGGATTTTAAAATCCTACAGAGATTCATTCATTCGCTCCACATACTTGATCAGTAGCTGCTGAGGCTGGGTCACTTCATGGTCCTAGGGATAACTGAAGAGTTGATGGCATTATTAAATTTTCGGTAGCTTTTTGAGAATGTTTTGATGTACCCCTTCTTAAAGGTGTTTATTGGATGAACCAACTTATACTAGCCTGGGCTTGGGAGCAGACCAATTTTAGAATCTTATTTAGACATGAGTAAAACTTACAGAAGAAATAACCACAACTTACTGGAGAGACAAATCTCTTTTTTTTTCTCATTCTGCATTTTATTTTCTCATTCTGTTAAAGCATAGTCTCCACTGTTTTGTTTTATTTTAACAAAACAGTTAAAATTTTTTAACTGTTTTATTTTAATATTTATAATACCTAGTTGCTTTGCCTTGCTTTAAGCACACTTGTTAATGGAAACAAGGCTTTTACATATGTATATATATCTACATATATAAAAAAATACACTACGAAGTGATTGCAGTACCAAAATAATCTTTTACAAAAGGCTGGCCATATATTGAACTACTCATAGAAAATATAATACAAAGAGTTTCGATTTTTGTATCTGTGACATGTTGGAAATGATCAACCTTTCTGTGTTTCAGTTTTGTCATCTCTAATACTAGGAAAATATTTGCTTTCCAACAGGGTTGGCCGTTGTGAACCTAAAGGGAGTTAATAGTTATGAAATTGTTTTAAACAGATAAAAGGGTTATGTTTCTGTGAGGTAGTAACAGCTCCCTCTGTGCTCCTGTGATGCTTTTTCTGCACATCTCTCACGGCACTTACACTTTCGACATTGTATTATAGTTATTTACTTATCTCTTCTTGAGAGCAAGATAGGCCCTTCTCTGATTTTCCTTATGTTTAAGGCATGGGGGTGGGGGTGGGGGGGGAGAGAGAGTGTGTGCGTGTATGCGTAGGTAGGATATTGACACTGTAAATTTTTGAATAAATGGGATTCTAATCAGAAAAACGTATGTACATTACAATTTATCAGAATACACCTGTTATCTGCTGTGACACATCTATAGCTGTGATTCTCTCCATGGCCTCTAGAGGAATGTATATTTTTAATTGGATGTCTTGCTGAATTTAAATAACATAGTAAAACTTAGTGTTTGTCCTGTCCTTGTAATTTTTTAAAAAAGCATGAAATGCTGGACATTAACTTATTTTTTAAATTTAATTAAGTAAAGGTTTGTCCAAGTTTAGATTATTCAAATTGTTTAAAATATTTAAGAAAAAAATTGTGAAGTGGTGAGACTTTCTTGCCATTGCTATCTGTTGTAGAAAGCAAAGGCCTTTGGATAGACCATACTAGGCTAATTTGTTACTCAGGTTTTTTGTGTGTTTGTTTTTGTTATTCAGTTTTAATTGTATCCTGCAGTCTATTTTAGTTTTTATTTCAAATTCTTACTGATGTCTGAGGATGATAGAGCTCATGCATAGTTACTTCCATCTGTTGTTTTACTTCAGATATTGGACTTTACTAGAATATGATATAAAGCAAATAGTAAAGGTTGATTAGAATTTATCACGTATAGCCTCATTTGTAGATTAGAGATTCGTGTATTGTTCACCAACTTGTTCAACCACTGTGAAGTGCTTTTTATGTTCAGGGCACATTGGTAAGTGCTAGACAGGTAAGTGCAGATCAGTCATATGCACAGATAAATGACTTTGCGGATTGTCTCAATTTTGTCCTTTTCGAGTTTGATGCAGAAAATACATGTAGATGGTTAAGGAAATGTTTCTTTTTCTGTCAGGACTTCTTAGGAGTATTGAAAACTAGGAAAAGCTTTTGTAGTGTAGCAATAACTATGTGGAACATCTATTCTTTATTTTGGTATCCTTGTGGTGATATATTTTCTTGAACATTTATACTGTTGTACCATGTTTTTCTATCCCAGGAGCTTATAGCTTATGTGGTCAAAATATAACCCACTTCTTTTTTTTTTTTGCTCTTTGCATTTGGAAGTCTGAGAATGTTCCTGTAGAGTTCTTCAGTTTGCTGCTTCCATGTGTGATGCTGTTACTTTTATTTAGCAGTGATCTCAAAAGAAAACTGGTTAAAATAAAATGCTAATTATTTATAGAATTATAGACTATAGAGTCAGATTATCTAGTCTTGTTTTTATTTTTGGATAAATTGATCACAAGTGAAGTGATCTGCCTAAGTTGTCGCAGCTGGGCAGGAGTTGAGACTGCAATCTTCTGACATCCAGTATAGTTTTCATCCCACACCATCACACAGGAGGTGGCGATTCAGTGTGATGTGGACACTTACTTAAAACAGAAACTGAAGTGAGTAGGGAATGAGAGATCACTTTGGATATTTACCTTAGGTATTGAATTTAAGATACTCCTTAACATTATATTTCTGCACTGAAAATATAGTTTGAAAAAATTGGTATTGATCTATATCAGTGATATGGTGATCACTGGGAATTATTTAGTTTGCTTAATTTTTATTAATTTTTAATCTGCTTTGATGGATATCTTCCTAAATAAAAATATCTTTGAGGTTTTCTGGACCTAGTGATACTTCATGGAATTTAAGTATTACAAGTGATGGAAATTTTATTATGCCAGTGGTTAGGTACCTCTGAGATTCAAACAAATAGGTTAAATTATTTTATAAATTAGCAGTTGCTTGTTTCACCTATTCTCAGACTTGTGGAATTTTTTTTTAAATATGAGGTGCTTCAATTGTTATATAAAAGCTTAGATAAATACCATGGATATGAAGTGTATACTTAATGTTATATTGAAAAGCTCATTTGTAGTATTAGTTTTTTACAGGTACTCATGCCATAAAATTTATTTTAAAGGGAGAGGCATATTCTCTTTCAGCTGATAATTTTCACATAAATACTGAAGCATGACATAGTTCTTTATTCTACTTGGGCTGTTAAATAATGTGCCTATTTTGTGTTGCATTATGATGAATTGGTTTTTTCTCATATTGTAGTCTTTTCTGAATGCTGTTTTCCTATATTACTCTTCCAAACTCTACTACATCTAAATACTGCCTATTTTTGAAGGGTTCGATCACACATCACTTCATCTGGGAAGTTT